TCTGTGTGACGGCTCTAAACGTAATACCCTCTACCACCAGCCACGTGCTTGCCTCACAGCCCTCGTTCTTCTGAGCCTATCAGTCCAATTATTTACGGACAAGCAACGATTATTGTGTTTAGGATTAATCAATTTTAACTGAAGAAAAATGAAAAAGGTCAGAGAAGTTGATAGATGTCAGATATGTATGTGACAGTAGATGAGTGGATGAAAAAGTTGACTATATTTTAAAATATCTAATGATATGCTACAAATACAGGGTAGAAAACAGGGGAACCACGTTTCGACAAGTAATTAGACAATTTGAAATTTTTTAAAAAACACATCCAATCAAAAACATTCAAATTAGTGTGTTTTCTTGCTTCCTGTCTTCAACCTGTCCAAGGAGTTTAATCGATGATATAATGTAATGAAATGTTATATCAAGAATTATGTTGCTATAGCATGGTTGTTGTGCTGAAATGCTCTCATATACCTTTTAAAAAAACAAAAAACAAATAAGCATTATTCAAACATTCGTTGAGCTTTGAACATGAGCTCTTAAACTGGGCTAAAATTTTATTGAGAATGACCATCACATATTATGAATACTAATTTGTTAAAAATTAAGCGTATTGATTATAACATCGTCATTCGTTAGCATCGAAATATTTGCAAGATCAGGATTACAATTTTGTATCGATTAAAAAAATTGTTGAAAGTGATACACTTTCATAGGATTGCCGTATATTCGCCGTGCTGATCAACGATAATTACAATATCGAGTAACTCTGTCATATATCTAATCTTGCTCAAATGTATTTACACGCGAGATAATTACATATATAACATAGATGCATCATTTTCAGAAGATGGTTGGGTCTTCGTGTTTTTTATTCCATTATTGAGTCCCTAAACTTATGAAGTTTTATGAAGTAAAACAACAAGTACAATTTTCTTTCTCGCCTCTAATTCAATTTAGCTTCTTAAAGGGTCGGTTAAATTTTGTCATCCCGAGATATAGCTCCTTCCCACCCCACCTTCAACCCAAACCGTCAACACACCAAGATTTATGGAACAGATTAAAGTAGATATAACTCCCCAAGTCCAAATAACTTTTTGAGTTCCACTTTCCTTTCAATTGTTACTCATTCATTAAGCAGAAGTACTGGGGCCGGTAATTTATAGTCAAACTAACGCTTTAATTTCCTTTTTCCAGAATTTAAGGTAATCTTTTGAACCAATCAATTATGTCGTAACAGAATTACAAGCCGTGAACAATTTTCCTTCCCCTCCAAAATTCTCTCTCTTCTTTTCGGCTTAGAAGACTAATTCATGAACCTGGTTTTTCTAGCCGGTCTTTATAAAGCCAACTAATTTTGACATTTGTTAGGCATGAAAATGAAATCAAAGCACAAAGATTTACATTGAGTGTTGAGGCAAAAAATAAAGACTTCTAAAATTAGTTACCATGTATGCTACTTGTACGACTTAAACTCAAGATTTTACTATTAAAGATACGTAAAGAATATTGCAGTTTATATTATAGACTTTTGTGATTATATGTGATTGTTATTTATAACACTATAAAATCGAGCCATTCTTTTAGTAATTCATATGGATCAAAAGTAATGTGAATGCTACTATTAGTATTAGTATTTTGGTCTCAATATTGAACAAGATTTTATGATTGGTAGGTGACCCCTAGATGCCTAGAACTTGGCATTGAATTGATATACACCACATTAAAAAAAAAAAAGCAAGACTTCACTAAACAAGCAAAAAATACTCTTTTTTATCTTATTAGTCCAGCACTAACACCCTTTTCACAATAAGGGGTCTTTTCAGTAAGGCTTGCGTGGGGGCGCTCTCCTTTTTGGACTTTACTAAACTACAATATTTTAAAGTTTGTAAAGACCCACCATTTTTTCGATCAAAATGAGTCCTTGAGACACATAGATTAATTTCCTCCAACAGTAAACTATTAATGATCTAAAATAATTTACAAAATAGAAATTTCAAATTATTTGTGCTTAAAAGTTATTCGTCATAATTTATTGTTCACTTCTTATTTGTTAATTAACAAAATAGAGGTAATAAAGTCCAAACTTACCTTTTAATTTTATCAAACAATTTGTAATCTTGTCAATATCAATCATTAACTAATAAAAAAAGTCGGAAACTCAATCTCCAAATGTTCTCATCGTGTAAAGGCGTAGTTTCAACATATCAAGTTATTAGATTGAGGAGAACCATTAATTTCTTGGATTGTATTATCTTATCTATTAGGAATTGTTAAAAGGGATTAAGAAGATTCTTTAGTCTATTAATGTAATTAAAGTAGCCGATAACAATGAATTAAGTTAATAAAATTGGAATTATCATAGAGGAATATACATAATAAGTATAGATTCATTGAGGCATTTATAATCTCTGTGGCTAGTTTGAACTTGGTTATAAATCCCCACCCCAACCCAACCCACGCGACCCCACCGAATCTTCAAATGCATGCCCTTAAACTTTTTTTAACTTTTTTCTTTAAGGAAATTTTGACTTTTTTAATTGATTTACTGTTAAGAGAAGTGATAGGAAATTATATTAAGTGAAATTCCATCAAATCTAATTGAAAAAGAGGTTTTTGTAGTGATCTTTGCACAATGTACTCTGTATAGCTGCGCACGTAATAGGGAAAGTCCTCCTGTTACTTCTAGCTTGAAATTGAACAAGCAGCCATGGAATGTTCTTTTTCATTATCATTAGAATTTGAAGATTAATGACATACTCGATACTTTCTATATTGTTAAATCTTATTTTGATTCTTTATTCAATACGTACATGGTAAACACAATGATGGTATAAACAATGAATTACGTAGGCATGTGAGTTGTTGAAGAGCTCTTAATCTGATTTAATTTTAAATTTAGCATTATAGGCAATTTAGGTGACAATGGACACTGTTGACCTTGAAATCTAGCGCTAATAGATTCCAAATCTTATTTCATCCACGTGTATGTTACATGCACACTTCGACACCACACAGTATGTGACGGTCGTGGCCACTCTAACACTCAAGTTGTAATGAAGAAAGTATTCAAATGTTAAAGAGACACAATGGACATCAATATGGGTGTTGGGTTGCAAAGTACCAAGTTTGCAATGTAAGAATGACATTACCTTTGGAAGACACTAGCATGAGCATTTATACTAAAAGGAAGAGCTTGTGTTCATTGGATGCTTGAAATGGCCAAATCTTAATGGCCCACTATTCAAGCTTAACTGTGTCAATCCCAATCGATAGGCTTATGGCCTTTTAATCTTAAGCTGAAAAGCAACCCCCTTAGGTTATGGCTTGTAGCTTGAAAAGTTGACTAACTGCAAACTGTTAAATCTATCAAATGTATGTAGGTGATGATTGTAGAAGATGCCCTTCACATAAGATGCCAATTACCTCAAAAATAGACTATATTAGAGTTGATGCTTTGCCTTGAAATGGTGGCGTCAAGGCGTCTATTGGTTTTGTCCAAATTGCTCAATCACCTCGGAGGGCACATGTGAAAGGACAAGGTGAAGTGGAGTGTGAACCTTATTTGTCCTCTTGCTTTTGCTTTTTGTTTAATTGTCTGCTACGTAGTTAGAGATGTAACAAAAGGATAATTTTCTTCTTTTTCGGTTGTCTTAATCATATTATCTTAAAATTTAATGTCGATGAACTCCAATGTTCAATGATTTAGTTAGCCTATTGATAGATTCCCTATATTAGTCTAAATAAGCTTTAATGTAAAATAAATAGCGAAAAAGAATATTAACCTAATTTGGCAGAAAAATGTGTTTAAGCAGAACAGAAAATAAAATGAGGGACGCGTCCTGTGAATGTGCATGCCGTGCGCCTTTTTTCTGGTCGGAAAACGATTAATTTCTCGTTTTTAAATTCCCATTGGCTTACTCGGACCAGTCAAACTTCTTAGTTAATATACTGACTTTGCTTATTGTTGACTGTCAATACAATTCGGAATAATAAAGAATTATACGAAAACTTTATTTTTTATTAATTAATAAGAATATAATTTATTCTTACCAAAAAGGAAAAATTTTGTATGATTATAAGTTCCGTTGTCAAAAACAAGAAATGTGGTAACTTTTCTTAGGCTACGTTGGATAGCCAAAGGTTTTCCATGGAATTTGGAAAATCAAGTCTATTTTTCAACTTTTGTAGTGTTTGATAGAATTTATTTTTTATGAAAAACATTTTCCAACTTTGGGTGCCCATCTAGACATTTTCCATATAATTGAGGAAATTCATTTTCCCGGTTACTTTAGCGATTTTTTTTTTATTTTTTCGTTTGGCAATGGAAACAAATTTTAAGAATTATTGTAAAAAAAAATTTTCTTTTAATTGACAATTTTCATATAAAACAAAGTCAAACGAACATTAAAAGATAGATGATTTTCTTGATTTTTTTTTTTTTTTAGTAGAGCAATGAAAAGAAATTCTATTCCCAATACCAGTAAATTTTTTTGAATTTTCATATAAAATAAAGCCAAACGAACATAAAAAAATACTTTTATTTCAATATTTTTTATGTGATAAATTATACCAATCAAACACAATAAATTGATAATTCTCGCAAATAATTTCTAGACAATTCAATTACTTGAAATTCGTTTTCTTTCCACCAAAATTCTATATTTGTAATGAAACAGACCCTTAGAGATGGAAAAGTAGTTTCTTAAAATTTTGATGTTTTAAAATTACGGTGATGTGTCAAAATTAGATTAAAGAGACGATTAAGGGGACAACTAAATCAGATTTGACAAGAATTTAGAAGTACGTGTTCAAAGTTCGAAACGAGTGAGAAATAAATCCAAAAACGTTTTTCAGTTAGTATTAAGTGTTATATCATATATGTCCCCACAAATCCAACTTATTCCCCGTCCCATGATATCAACTACACACCCAACCTGCACCGTCCGTCCGTCCAGTTCCTCATTGTTTCTCGCTCCAACATGCACTATAAATCCGACCTCTCTTTTTTCCCCCACAATAGCTTTGAGTTTTGTCACAAGCACCACCTAACCGCCGTCTAACATGAAGCTTGCCACCGGAATTGTAAGGCCATGCAATATGTTGCAAGGCTCAAGCCACCACCTGGTGAACTCAACTCAATGTTCCACCACCTCCACCTCCACCTCCACCATATCTCAATCACAAAATTCCTGCACCAAATTGAGAATTGCAAACTCGTGGAACCCAAAGGGAAGGCATAATTCTGGGCAGTCTCTAGCTTTCAAAACTTCGAAACTCCGGGATAAATGGACGGAGTTTCAAGGAATCAAGAACTGGGAAGGATTACTCGATCCTCTCGACAATAACCTACGCAATGAGATTCTTCGATACGGCGAATTTGTCGAGGCAGCTTATCGTTGTTTCGACTTTGACACATCCTCTCCAGGTTATGCAACTTGCCTTTATCCCAAAAGCTCAATGCTAGACCAATGCGGGTTCTGCAGGACTGGGTACAAAGTGACCAAAAGTCTCCATGCCACATGTGGAGTACAACTTCCCCAATATTGTAGTGAGAGATTACCAAATTGGGTGTCCACTCAATCGAGCTGGATTGGATACGTTGCAGTATGCAATGACAAGAACGAAATAGCCCGGCTGGGCCGCCGGGACGTGGTGGTGGCATATCGTGGAACCGCCACATCCATGGAGTGGCTAGAAAATCTCCGGGCAACCTTAACTTGTCTTCCAAGTGATATGGCTCCTGATAATTGTGAATCAATGGTACAAAGTGGATTCTTGAGCTTGTACACATCGAGTACCGGTTCACGTCCAAGTTTACAAGAAATAATTAGAGATGAAATCAGCAAAATCCTACAAAAATATGCTGATGAGCCCTTGAGTATAACTGTCACAGGTCACAGTCTTGGAGCAGCTTTAGCTACATTATCTGCTCATGACATTACCACAACTTTCAAGCAAGCACCTCTGGTGACTGTTGTTTCATTTGGAGGCCCTCGAGTTGGGAACAGAAATTTTCGATGCCAACTAGAGAAAAATGGTACAAAAGTCCTAAGAATTGTGAATTCTGATGATCCCATAACTAAAGTTCCAGGTTTTGTTTTCGAGGATAATAAGGAAATGGCTAGAAATGGTGACGTACAAATGGCAGGTGGGCTCTCAGAGTGGCTGCAAAAGAGGGTTGAAGACACCCAATGGGTTTATGCTGAGATAGGCAATGAGCTTCGTCTTAGTAGCAAAGATTGCCCTCAAATCAACAATCGAAACATGGCCTCGTGTCACGATCTCAAGACATATCTCCATTTGGTAGACAATTTTGTGAGTTCAAATTGTCCTCTGAGAGCCACAGCCAAGAGGGTTCTAAATAGATCACAAAATACAGCTTTAGTTTAATTAGATGTATATAAAGAGTGTTAGGCCTTTCTTCTTCCTTTTTCCCCCTTTCAATTTGCATGTGTGTTGATCACTAATTGTACATAGAGGGTCAGATAAAAAGCACATTCATGCCATGGAAAGAGTTCAAAGGAAGATGGCCATTGCCTTTATGTAGAAGCCCTCTCTTTATTTTATGATGATGAGGCAATTCTTTTTGTAAAGAATGATAAGTTAATTTGTTCCCCCTAATTATGCACACTTTTTAGTTTTTTGGTTTATTCACTTTCTTCAAATATGAAAAAGATTTCGTATTGATAACGTAAGAACAAAAAGAATATTAACTAAAATGGAAAATGTTCTTTCAATGTGCCTTGATGGTGAAACGATGGATACACGAGATTCAATATATTTAACAGTTTATATCCACACTGATAATATGTAGTTTCTAATGGTTAACATAAATAACCACAAAGCACTAAGATTGATTGAAAGTTTAAACTATTCTATCAAATATTGAATTTTAGTCACATTGAATTAATATTTCATTTTAAAATTTAAGTTGCAAGAGAAATGTCACGTTTGATTATTTTGATTATTCATAAACATATTTTCACAAGTTAATTTATTTTTTTGATCAAAAGTCTAACACGTAAAATTTTTTCATAAACGGGTGATTGTTAAACTCGAAGTCAGGTATTATCTTGGACACATTCGAATTCTTTTACCAATTCGCTTGGAATGCCTTGATGAGATACTTGATTTTTGAAGCTAAAATGCACTCTCCAATGATCATCAGGACAAAGATGATTTTATACCATAAGATGAACCTGCTACAATTACCAGCTGGCCCCCTGGCAATACCTGGCCTATGTGGCCCTGGTAAAGGGAAATTACCCCCCCCCCCCCCCCCCCCCC